GCTCACCAATGCAGACGAAGAGCGTGAAGGAATGCTGAAGACCTTCCATAAGAATCAGAATCGAGATCGACAGTGTTCCAAAGAAATAGTAGAGAATAAAGATTGCAGCTGATCCGCCCCATCCGCCCATATTCAAGCCGATAGACAATAACATGTCCCATAGAACTTCCGAGAGCTCTGTAAAGGAAGCTTTGAATTTTTAGCTGAGTCTTTTTTGAAATCGATGCCGAATGTATTAGCGTTCATGCACTGCTGAGATGAAGTTTTGTGGCATGAATGACTCCATTTTTTTTTCGAGAAAAATTCATATTTCACAAAATACGGCGTGAACTGAAATTTCGAACCTGAAGGGAAAACTTGGAAAGTTTGAAGTGAATTGTTTCCATAGGATAACTGAGCTCTATCCCACATTTCGTGTTGCGAAAGTTATCAAGAGTGTGCTGAAGCATGGGCAAAATTTTCGCCCCACCCAGGATTCGTAACTGGTAGCACAATTCCTGCAAAGCAAGAGATCCAGGTTCGAAGCGCAGCTAGGGCAAAGTTTTGCCCAAAACACAGCATTCTCGTGATAACCATTGCAAATTGTTATACTGTGAAGTGTTAATTTGATAGCTACTACTGTAACACAGAGCGTAGTAAATCAGAAAACTTATAGTAAATTAGAAATCTTACGCGCATGAGCCAGTGAAAGTGCCCAAAGTCGAAGGTAAGAAGCAGTATGCGAGATACAACCAAGTGCGAACTCAATCGTGTGGATTGCTTGGTACACCATCACATCGCCGAAATTGAACTGAAAATATTCACTTTTGTCCTGACACTCCTATATTCCCTTTCCTATGTTGATAACGGCCAAAAAATAGATCATAATTTAGCAAATGAGCTATTCAGTGGAGAAGTTTTGAGGTGAACCTTTTTCTAGAGTTCACATCACCAAATTTAAAGACTGTGAAATAAGAAAGAAAAGACCTTTATAAAGGAAATAATCAAAATGGTTCGTTTCGCTCCTTCCTCAGACGAACCTTATTATTTCGTCAATCCCCGGAGCTCATCAGTGAGTTGGGATTGGCGAAATAAAGACACAGGGGAAAGACGAATAAACCTTGAGCTGACGTACAAATTTGTCATGCAGAGGAGCATGCAATGAAATTAATTGTATATTGACTAAAGTGAATATAAATTGATAACAATATGTAAAACTTTTATAAAATTAAAAAGGTGAAAATGTTTATAGGTGTCCACTGAATTAGGTAATAACTTCATTGGTATTCCTGGTTACAAATTTTTCCAGGCTCGCCTAGGTTATGTGACTGCGTTACGCATACCTCACTCATTGCTTCATCATCGCCATGGATCATTGACCGGGAGACTGAGCGCACTCCGCCTCTCACAGCAGCGCATCCTAACGCTAGAACGCTGGACTAAAACATACATTGGAATAGAAACAACAAGCACCATAAGAGAGAACCCCTCCTCGCCAAGTACCTGAAAAGTCCTACTTTTATGGTTTGCATAAACAGTCGCTTTCACCGATGATGTGCTCTTTATAAAAATAATTAAAAGTACGCTTGCACACATTTACTTTTAATGAATATAATTAAGGCAGTAATTGTGCAGTCCATGTGTAGTAGTTCCACAGTAATTATCCCCGAATCGTTCAAAAAACCTTTTGTATTTCATAGACGGAACTCTATTTCGGTAAAGCCACGGTGTTAGCTACCCAGGTTGACTTTGGACATGTCTTTTGTCGAGTAGGCCTTCTTGATGAGCTAGACGATGTGCATCTACATCAAGAAAGAAGGCTGCTCAGAGACAGCGATATCAGGCTCTGTACGCTGTAGCTCTACCTCCCTTCACAATCTGCCCGTGTCTGCGTCCCTCTTGCCCCTATCCTCTTTCGCCCTCCCCCTCCCGTAGTCACTTGGCGTCCTCACTCGAGCTCTCTTTGTTCGAAAGCTGCACAATGAATGTGCTGAATTGACGATGGATAGAACCAACTAATGAATTCATCCATGATCTTCTCGACATTTTTCTGCTTCATTGTTTACTGTTGAATCACGTGCACCCAGTGTTTCATATATGAAGCCCCTACCCCGTTCTGTCATCGCGGTTATGTGGGAAGTTGCGCGTTAAGTCCGTAATTACCTGTCAGGTAGGATCTATCCTATTAGCAATAGGCAGGCGTGCATTCTCGTACAATGGTGTGTATAGATAGTAAGGTTTGCAATCTTGTATTTGCACTCGAATCACTCGACGCATTAGGGACGTATACACATTATTGTTGAAATGCACGCGCTGACAGATATTTCTTTCCTTCAACGGCATTTCTTTTCGAATTTGCGTATGGACAAAAAGGGATTCTCAAACGAGAACTTAATGGTAGAGTACACCTCACTCGCTCCCGGCAGTATCGATCTTTGGCAGACGGCTCGGCGAGCGCAAGGGACGGCGATAAAGACATTATGCACGCGGTACGATGAACCACCATCAACCTCTGTGTTTGTGATAGAAAAATGACCACAACAATCCGAAGCTTTGAGCAGCGGCCAAACTATTAGCATGGCCTTAGGTGGCAAAACGCCGCTTTGTTATTAGTTTTTCTGGTTCACTTTCTTGGGGGTTGTAGTGTAAGTGGCAAGTGAAGCCACTTCCCGCGCGCACGGTCCAAGGGGTGAAATCTCTGAATAAATCTCGCTCAGACTAACTACCCAAGGTCAGTGAATCGGCACTACACTTGTCCAGGAGAGCTTGTCTAGGAGGACAGATACTAGCCTGTAAAGCAGCTGACCGCCGCAAATCGCTGTATAGGCCATGTCAGTTCAAGTGAAACTAACAAACTGCCAACTACGAACCTAAATGGAAGAGTAGAATGTATGGCGCATCCCAAAAAGGAACGATGAACATGGGAAGCTTTCTCATTTGTCCTCTTGTTTTGTGTTATGCGACCGTTGTACTCGAAGCGCCCACAAAAACCAGGACAACATTCATTAAGAGGGCAAAGTTTTCAAGTTAGGTCAGAATTTTTACTTCTGCTTCTAGAACCACTCAGAACCCTCAGGATCGTTCACGGTTGGAGGGTCAAATCCGAGAGTGATATGAAAGCGATTTGGCTCATACAGTCAATTTCAGGAACTTGATTTTCCGATTTTCAAATCATGTTTTGACATTAAGACGAGTCTTGCGCCAATCAACAGAGCTTTACGGAATGCATGATTGGTGGGCCGAGCAAGATTTGGTCAGGGATTGATCCGCTGATCGTGGCAGTTGCCAGCACAGCACTTCCGCCGAAGCAATGGTGTTTTACGAGGTCCTCACTACCGGCGGATCGTGAACGAAGGTTTCTTAGGGCTTAGGTGGGTCTATCGAAAAAAGAGGTGGATTTATTTGGTAGGACTTGAAGGAGGATTCCACAATACGGAGGTTGAAGAAGGGGAAACCTCCTTAGTGGAAGGGCAGGCGGACTCCATAAGGGTGTGGAACGACACGCAATCTGCAGCGAAGGATGTGCTCCAGCAATCTAGCAAGGTTGTTTCCGCGCGCGCTACCGCAGCTGCCCGCCCACTAAGTCGTCGTCCGGCTCTAGGCTCCAGCAGAGAGAGCGTTAGCGTTGATGAGGTCAACAACGATGAGACACGTCTAACGCTCAAATCGTTTTTTTTACTTCATCCCAGCAGCAGTAACAGCTTCTATCATGATCTTTAGTGGCTGTCTCTCCTCGCAAACTCCGCCTTCGAATGGCGTTTGTACTCATCAGCACAAGTTCACTAGTTGACTTACGTCTCTAGCTTTGAGCATGAACATACTGATAAGACCAATCAGCAGCGATGGTGCACAGAAAGGACCAGGATACAGCCGACCAAAAATAAACGCCGGTTTCACGTAGAAAAATATCCATTTCACCACCACCTGAAACAGTTCTTGTACTGAATCGATAATTTTATTCAAAACTGACGTGAAAAGTACGAAATGAACCAATGAAATAATCAGGCTAGGCACGTCTGAGTGCGACTGCCATAATGCAGATGTGGGTCGATTGTTCTTGAGGGAAATAAATGAGCTGAAAGCCGAGAGGTAACGGACTATCCCCATGTTCCGCCCGCTGGCCGTCATAAACCTGCTCAGACATGCGTAGTGAATCTCACTTACCATGACGCATAGATAGACAAAGATACAGAAGAGGAAGAACACTTGCGGCACGAATACGAACAGCACATCAACCACAGAACGGTTATGACTGAATAGAACAATATGAATTTTATGTGGCACATTCCTTTTGTCATTCCTTTCTATTTTCCATTTATCAAAAGCATTGAATTTTTCACTATTGGCGATATCATAATAGTTTACCAGCGCAAAAAATGATATTTGCTCGAGTTATAGCAAACTATTGAGTCGACGCCTCCCCCTCCCACCCCACGGGTACGGCCCCATAATTTGCTTTACATATCTTCTTGTTTGACTTCATCCTGAGCAGTGCGCATCAGTCCAAGTACGCACTACGGCATTCGGATGGCGCTAAACGTATATCCTCAAAGTAGATGTAATGGGAATACCAGACCCGACTAGCTCTGGTGGATGGGTAATAAGTCTCACAGCTTGCTTCTTTCTATCTACGAGAATCAGCTCCTGCTCAAAGTAGTCACTCATGTTCCTTCTCCGATTAGAGTGAGATCCAAAATAATTGATATTTGTTCTGTGGAACTGCGCAGAAGCCGGGCATATTGTGGGACATCTGGCTCACTCAAATCTCTGTCGGTCTAAATAGCGTTTTTTCTAATATTTCTCGAGGTTTTTTCGAGACTAACAACCGGGTAAAAGTCGGTCGAGGATTAGTCTACTAATCGTCGAGGATTTTCGCCTGTTCACTCACGCTCTCCTGCGCGGACATTCACTCTCGCCACGCGCGAGCCGTCTGTGCTCTCCGCGCGTACATTCACTCTCGACACTATTCCCACCGGCACAAGCCATGGTCAAGGAACTTCTCAACCGTTATTCACGCTTCTGACAACCCGACCACCATGTGAAGCCTAGAAATCGTATTCCAAACTATTTTCCACAGAGGGCTGATTGCTTAGGAAAATGGTGATTCGGCTGCCCAGTACTGCAGTGGCCCAGTTCCCTGTCTTGGGGTTGACCATCAAGTAAGCTCCTCGTATTGTATCGTAGAATGATGTCCGAGTTTTGAAGAATCAAGAATGGCATACATGTGGTTGCAGAGCGACAGAAGAAGTCCAAAGGTCATCTGGGATATTCCGAGAATAATGGACGTCTTCATTTTCATTGGATTCAAAAAGTTCAGCTTGTTCTTGGCAATGTTCCAGACCGGATCGACACCGAATGGGTACGGGCCCTGGAATTGATCGCATTATAGCAGAAATCTCGAGGAGAATAGTTACAGAAAGAAAAGCTTATTCTACTATGGAAATCATAAATAGGATTTTTTACCGCATTGGAATCGAAGGCGTACTCCGGTGGGAAAGTCAGATCCAAAGTTTGACTGTTGTTGTGGCCTTGCTCCTCCATGTGCGCCAGCAATGACTCCCTGAAATGCTAGTATTCAAAATTCTATCGAAAGGAAAAGACATGCAGATAAAAAGAAAAAAATGACTGATTTAAATATAAAAAATAGAAGCTGAAACAGAACAAAAACCAATAAACAAAAAAGGAAAAGTCGTTTTGCTTCGCTCTTTTTTCGGAAACCCTCATTATTTCTTGGTGAGACCATCGGCACAATACTTATTCACAATTAAAAGGAAGTCGGTGATACAGCACAATCGAAACCCTAGTGGGGTCAAATGGGGTACAGAAATCAGTTAAAAGTATCCCAGGGGCGTATTTTGTGACACCATTTCAGACACCAGCATCCGGTACCACATCAGCGCCACTGTCATTTTTGGGATCTCCCGGATCTTGAGTTAGGGGCTCTTTATAATAATTTCTTGAATCGCCAGAATAATATGCATTTCTGGTGCCGGTCGAACTCCATAAAGAGAAAGTTAAATACATTGCTTTTGTAAAGCGGGTTATGGTAAGACTCACGGATATGGATTTTTCCAAGAAGATCCGAAGACATTGATCGATTTGGAGTAGATATCGTTGTAAAGGAAGCCGGTGTATATGGAGAATATACCCATGAGAAGAACCACATAACGACCACCAAAGAAAGTGTTGAAGATCTGGAAAATAATGAAATTCACATAAAATCATTTCACGAGTACCAGCAACAGGACCAGCTCAGGAGGCAATTGACCGTACCTCGTCTTTGATTTTCATTGAAATCAATTTCTTCTCGAAGACTACAAAGGACAGAGCAGCTAGCAACATGATTATTCCGTGCCCAGAATCTCCGAACATGACAGCGAACAGGAATGGAAAAGAGATGATCGACCACGGGGCTGAAATGAGTCCAACGTACTATTTTTTCGTTTTTCTCTCTTTTCTTCTTTCTTTTTGTAAAATATCTTCATCGCATACATTGTAGCTAGCGTGGCACACGAATAATCTCCACTTACAGTAATCATAATCCCCACTGTTCCATTTAGGTTAGGAAATTATAGGGCTCCTGAAAGGTTGCAGAGCTCAACCTGACGGACGCCATGCATCTAGCTTGGTTTTGGGAGTTTATACGCCCGAAAATGCGAATGATAATGTTAGCATAAAGGGCACATCCTGTTGGGTATACCTTTGAGACGGCAAACGTTGAATTTTCTTGAATCCGCTGGATTTCAAAAATTGTTCCTTTTTTTCACTCAGAAAGCTCCTTCTTGCTGTTTTAATCCTCACAGTGAACTACTTCTCCAAATACGACATCCGAAATCACAAATTCCATTTGCCTCCCCAATTTCATTCGTGTCACACAACCCGATAGGAGGGGTGGGGGAAGATCGTGTTTCGGTAAATCTCAGCTTAGTGTGCTTGAATTAGGCTGAGTAATATTTTCACCACCCCAAAATGCCGATAGAGATGGCTCTTCGAAAATGAAAAGGGCTATTTCTAAAAAAAAATCCTGCACTAAACTTTCCTCCTATCTCTTTAGAAGAGATCTCCCCAAAGCTTTTACAAATTCTTCCCAGTTCTGATTGCTAAAAACTGTAAACTTGGGCGTCACATAACACTTAGAAAGGCACGGCATATTGCCTGATAGTCAACACGGCTTCAGGAAAGGCAAATCGACTGTCACGCAACTGGTAGAAGCCATGAACGATTGGACAGCCGCCTTGGATGCTAAAAAAGACGTTGACGTCATATATTTTGATTTTTCTAAAGCTTTCGACAGAGTCAACCACTCCAAGCTCCTTATCAAACTAAAGCACGTTGGAATTCATCCTAGAATAATTTCGTGGATTGAATCTTTTTTACTTAACCGTTCGTTCCAAGTTCGCGTGAGAGAGACTTTTTCTTGTCCTAGAGCAGCTCCAAGCGGTGTCCCGCAGGGAGGGGTTCTCTCACCTGTGCTTTTCTGCATATACACCTATGACCTTCCGTATGTCGTTGAGGAACTAGGTGTGAACTGCAAGCTTTTTGCTGATGATATGAAGATTTACAAGTCTGTAATAGGGGAGGAGGATTCTGCCAGGATCCAATTGGCAATTGAAGCGGTTGTTAGTTGGTCTAAATTCTGGGCCCTACCCTTAGCTCCTGAAAAATCTTCAGTTCTTCATTTGGGAAACTCGAACGTAGGTAGCACTTATTATGTTGATGAGTGCGAGCTCAAAAAGGTCAAGGAGATTAGAGATCTGGGTTTTATTATTGATAATAAATTGTCATTTGATTCTCATTGCAGGACAATAGCTAACAGAGCTCAAACCAGGCTCTTTCAGCTCCTCAGAAGCTTGTACACTAAGGACCCCGGTATCCTTATTAGGGCCTTCAAGGTGTACGTTCGCCCTATTTTGGAGTATGGTACTGTCGTTTTCTTCCCTCACTCGAAAAAATTGATTTCACTTCTTGAGGCGGTTCAAAACAGCTTTACGAGGAAGGTTTTCACTAGAACATTGGGTTTTAACTATTACGACATACCTAAGGGTCTTGTTAGAAATAAGATGCTTGGTCTTGAATCTGCTTACTTTGGTTTATAAAATCATCACAGGCAGGATGCTGATAGAGAGTAAGGGCTCCTTCGTCCCTCTTCCGTCCCACACCAGAGGAGGTACGTTCAGACTGTTGCTTACTAAATCTAAGACTGGTATTCGTAGTAAATTCTTCTTAGCAAGGGCTTCATTGGAATTCAACAAATTTATTAAAAAGTTCGCAGTGCCTAGTAGCATCGCACAGTTAAAAAGAAATACGCATAAGTTTTACGTTTAGCAGATTGCTGTCTTAGTATTTCGTTACTACTAATTACTCTGGAGGTTGGTCACCCTTTGAGTTCTCTTATTTCCTCCACTTCTTAGCTTCGTTCTTCTCCATTTTTTAAATTTTGTTCTGGTTTGTATCGTTATCAATGTTATCAGTGTTGTTGTTTTCCTGACTGTTTCTTTCAAATTTGTTTCATGTACGCAAGGTACATGTACTATAAATTCCATAGGAAAAACATCTTCTTCCTTATTCACCTGGGTTGACTTCTCGATAATTGGCGATACCGTAGGCGTCGACAATATTTTGGAATCCTTGAGTGAACTTGTTTAACTTGAAATGTGTCGGTGGCATTTTATGGGTTTCCATTTCGTTCAACACAGCGTGTACTGTAGAGCCGGATTGGTCCTGGAACGAAGATGCGGTTGGATTACGGTACCTTCAATCACGCTTAACTTCTTCGCTTACTACTTTGAGGAGAAGGCAAATTAGAAAAAAACATTAAGCGGTGATTGATCACTTTTTGAGATGCAGTACTTCCATTTGGGATCGCAGTGGCATTGCAAATTAACCAAATTCGGAGGGATGGAAGCCTTGGCTGGCCTGAACGGCATATGGCTCAGGATTTGATTCCCGCAACGCGGAAAGTAGGAAGGCATCACTCTCGCTGTACAATTATCCCTAAGCCATATAATAACAACAACTATTGATATTGAAAGATATTGTTTACGGTGAGTTTCGATTAAGTACCTCTAAATATAACTAATCTCACACATAGTTGTCAGTTAAACTACATAATAGCACCCACTCCTTATGTCTACCTCTAACCTGGCCAGCGCGTATGTTCATAAGTTAGACCGGATATTATCGTCTAGTTAATGCATGTATCACAAATACTAAAGAACAATGAGGGCACTCTCAAAAAAAAAAACGCCTTTTTATTATAATGAAAAAAGCAAATTGGAATTGAAAAGAAATTACTCATCAGAGACCGTCTTACAGAATGAAGCGGTTCTCATGTGAAGACCAGAGCACTTTTTAGCGTGAGAAAGAAGTTAACCTCATAAACATTCACATATTTATATATAAATTAGGTATACTAGGTATACTTAGGTTGAAGCTATCAAAAGGTAGAAAACCCACCGTTCCCCTAGAAGAGCAGCATTTCATCGAGTGAAGGTCCACAGCGGGCCACCCAGCCATCGGCGATAGACATTAGCGTGACATCGACCGAACATATGAGGGTGTGGAAGATCGACTTCAATTTCAGCAGCTGCAAAAAAGAATAGTAACTTTAATGATTACTGTTTTATAGTGATTTACTTTTGCACTCTATGCTATTTCACTAAGAATGTCCATTAAAATTGACTGAAAAAATATGAGATGATCATATTACACCTCAAGAATAGTCAGAGCAAAGTTCAAACACCACATATGTAATTCCAAGTATTTACTTTTAGCAGTTCTAAATCATTTAAGGCTTTTTATAAAAAGGTTTGCGCCCTCATACATAACCCAACTCTTGAGGAAGAGTAAGGCCGATGTCAGACTTTGCGAATCGCGCGATTCGCTACTAGCGATTCGCGCGATTCGCTAGCGTCCGCGGTCGCGTTGCGGTACCAGCCAATTGAGTGATTCACTGGCCGCGACGCGACCGCAGACGCTAGCGAATCGCGCGATTCGCAAAGTCTGACATCGGCCTTATCTCTCGAGGTAGTTGCGGACCAATCCGGTTTTCTAAACATAATGGGTCAGAAATAACCTCTCACTGATTGAGCTCCACAAAATCTTGGGTAAATATTATTCATTTCGGTGTTGGACTCGAAGATTTGTAGCAAAGCATCCAAGTGTATGTCACATAAATAAATATATAAACAAACAAATAACATTAGATCTACCATTAAAACGGCCATTTTTCACGCTCAGTGCCGCTGCGAAGACGATTTTGTGACGGTACTCGAGCGTTTTGCCGATAACGCTTTGCATATCGCCGACCTGGAATCTCAAATCTTATTCGATACCTTCTGCTGAACCTGAAACCAATCGCTCACTTGTCCATTGATCTGGGCGAGAAGGTGAGCTCGCTCGTTTGGACTTTCAGGGCAGTTATAGATGGTGGCATGGAATCTGAACACGGTCTTGAAGAGTAGGACTCAGCGACTTTTGGAGGACATAAATGGAGTAGAAAAAAATACCCGGCGCAGATCTTTTGCACTCTCGATCGGAGCTGATCACCAGAGAAAAACAGAATGAACACGGCCTTGTCGTCATCTTTGTCATGCTGAAAAATGATTGAAATTTATTAGGAAGTTCTCTCTTTTCAGAACATTTGATCTTACATCAAACAGTTCCGTTTTCTCAGTAATATCGGCAGTTCGTACGAAAACTTTGCCTCGACAAAATCGCCATATGAATCGCTCGAAGGAGATCACCTTGCTACGATTGATGACACCGGTGATAAATCTAAACACAGCCGGTGATTGTTTTATAAATCATATTAGATAAGTTGCTCGGCGGTAAAGGTGGCAGGTGGCGCCGCTACCACGCCACGTTACCAGGATCGAATCCCTTATTGTAGACTGTTAACACCGACCAGGCCCTCCATCCCCTGGGTCAGTCGGCACAGAATTGGCCTAGGAGGAAAAAAACTTTGACTTGTTCATCCGATGACCCCACCAGCGTTGTATTAAGTCAAGTTGCATCTGAATACCTTACAAGTCTGAATGAAATCAGAATCTGTGGCGCAACTGAGAAAGAGGATTGCTCATTTTCTCCTCTTCTGACTTTCTCCTCTAGAAGCGAAGGAGGGGCAGTGACAAGTGGGCTACCCCAGTGCACTTGGTGCAATGTTCAAATCGCGACTTCAATCCGACTTATGTTAGCTCCGGGGCGGAAGTAGTGTAGTGGCGAGTGGCACGCTTACCACGCGAGCGGTCCGGGGATCAAATCCTGGGTCGGTTAATTGGTACCAGACTTGTCTGGGAGGATAAAAACACTGACTTGTACATCGGCTGGCCCCCGCAAGTCATTGTATAGGCCACATCGCATTCAAACGCCACTACGAATGTACAAATGGAAGTAGAATGCGTGCCGCATCCCAAAAAGGGATTGATCAACGGCAAATGCTTTATCCTTTTGCTTTTATGTCAGCTCCGAGTTTTCCATCCATCCTGAGTCGATTCATTGGTACTAATGACCCACATATTTGGTAGGATCAAAGCCCTGATTTGTGAATTGGCTAACCCCCACAAGTCATTGTACAGTCAAATTCAACCTTGAACTTGAATTCAACGTCTACACTTGAATCACGGCGCAGAGTATTTGATGTATGTATGGTATAGAAGCTGCTATATCAGAAGAATTTCGCTTCCTTTGATGTTTATAAGACGGCACATTCTCGTACCAGAGGGGGTCACAAAAATAATTTTATCTGGGCCTAGAACCAACATAAGAGCCACTAGTTTCACCTTCAGGGCTGCCAGTCTTTACAAAAAGGTAACTAAAAATATGGTCATTCCTGGCTCCCTGGATAATTTCAAGCGTAGCGGCAGTTTCATCTGAATATGAAATTTCGTAGTTCCTTGAGGTTAACTGCTTCTCTTTCATCTTTCACGTTCATGAGATACTTTACATTTTTTCCCCACTGAATTTTTTCGGTGCTCTACATTTCAGTTTTTTTTGTATTTTATCTAACCACTTAATGGTGTCCGTTTCGTTCGGTTAGTTATGCGGTTTGTACACGACTGGCTTAT